TGGCCACACAAGTGCAAATGAGGTATAATGTAGTGTGGCTAGAGTTGATTGATTGATTGATTGAATTAAATCTTTATTTCAAACTTATTCTTTTTCTCTCAATAGTATGACTCGGAAATGCAAAAAGAGGAAAGACTGACTTTGTAGGTACTTCAAGTTTAGAAAAAAGAGATAAACTAGACAGTTTTATACAAGAAAGAATGCCTATATAAATTGGAATTAGTTTTTGATACTCATCAAATATTTTTTCAAGTCAGGGTTAGTGGAAAACTCATGCAGCCTGTTGACAAGTTTGTGTCGAAACCCTAACCCTAAATCTAAAAAAAACAAACAGTATCTATCAAAACACTGATGTCACAGACACAGTATATACATATCTTCACAATTACCCTAACACAGCCATGTTCAATTCCATTTATCAGTGCTCACACAAGGGAAAAAATAAGCAGTGTGTGTGTGTGTGTGTGTGTGTGTGGAGTCAGTGGACTCTGACCCTCCACGTTGGAACCAGCTCTGTAGGGTGGTAAGTCATTCTGTGGTATATTTACTACAATTAGAGGTTGCACAATTTACATTGTTTTTATGACTTAAACAAGGACCAGCACGGCCAATGAGCTTAGACTGTACATGATGTAGCGTGATGCGGTTTACTGGATCCATACTTCATATTTTTCCTATACAAATCAGCATGAAATAATTATATGTTGGCCAAAGCTCCTTGAAATATATCATTTAATATAGAATCCATCAGCAAAAATGGTCTTTACTTTACATTTAAGTATTTTTTTAAGGAACCTGCAGGGATAAATTCATAACTGCTGTGTCATGTTTGTACCATGTGTCTGTACCCACTTTTCCCATGGCTATTTGTGTGTGTGTGTTGAAATTGTGAAGGTGCAGTTTCGTGACAAGTATTAGCAAGCATAAAGGTGGGAACAATAGTCTGCCTCTGGATATAGTGGGAGACGAAACCGAAGCGCTAGGACATGTCAAGACCTGAGAGATGAGAGATGGAGCGAAAACAGTAAATTGCTTGTGGGGGAAAAAGCAGCACATGTCCCACACTAATTTGTGACCAGCAGAAGTGCCTTTGTTATTGTGCAGTTAGAGCTTTGAACTATCAGGGTGTCTTGTCATTACATTGTTTACGTTGAGATTGCTCATTTAATAAATATAGAACGACATACAGTATCTTGTGTTATTAGATATAAGGATGATTTATATACTGCAAAGAAGATTTTTTTCAGATTCACCCATTTATTTAGAAATGGCAAAAAGTTACACTTTACAACTTCACCACAAATATTAAAAAGAAAGTATATACATGTCAAGTGCAAAGGTTTGCACCTTTCAATAAATATTTTGTTGTGGGTATATACCCAGTTAAATCTGCTTTACAGTACAGTAGTATTTCACATATTTAAATTATCTGTCATGCTTCAAACAGAGGCAGACCAAACAAGGCCAGCATCTTGGTCAATGACGGAGCGTGAGGATGGAGGATGACTTAGTTGGCCTCGACGAAAGACTGGTAAAAGGACATGAGCTGGGCCTGCAGGTCCTGGGCGTAGGGGTTCAGCTTTTCCTTCAGGTCTTCAGCGTAGGGGGCCACCATCTGTTTAACCAGGTTTGCTCTCTGAACCAGCTCAAGCTGCACCATGTCTGTCATGGGGGCCACTCTATCCTGGAAGTCCTGCAGATGCTGGTCCACCTTCTGCTTCAGGTCATCAGTATAAGGCCCCAGCTGAGTCTGCAGCTCCTGCACACTCTGCTCCAGGCTGACCTTCAGCTCCTCTGTCTTCTGCATCAGGGTGGTCCTCAGGGCCTCTGAGTCAAGGGAGTCTGCATAGGGGGCCAGCTCCTGTTTGAGCTGCTCCACTCGCTCCTGGATCTTGGCCTTCATGTCTTCTGTGTAGGGCTCCAGCTTGTCCCTGACAGTACCCAGCTCCTGGGTCAGCACATTTCTCAGTACGTCAGCCTCCTTGGTGATCTTGGTGACCAGGTCTTGTGCTGCGGGGGGGATTCCCTCCTGAAGGGTGACGGCATACTTGCTGGCGATTTCAGCGCTCTCTGCAAGGCGGGCACTGAAGGAAAGTCAAAGTAATTATTAGACTATTAGCAGTTTATGTGATGACATACCAGTCTTCATCACTATGTAGCTAATAGTTTTGTGTCACACAACTTACTTGACTTCCTGTCCAAACTGCGATTTCCTAACCATCTGGAGGGTGTCATCAGCTGTCTGGGTGGCTGTGGCAATATAGTCCCAGAATGCATCAGTCATCACTTCCAGCCGTGGTTTGGGTGCATCAGCATAAAAGAGGTTGGCATTGCAGCCTGTTGGATGGACACAAAAAACACATTGGGAACAGTGCACATTTACAGTCTTTGAATCAGTTGATTGCTCTTAGTTGCAATTTAGTTAGATCAAAGGTACAAGCTTGCAACTTACCAGACAGAACTGCAACAGCTAGCACCAGGAACAACTTCATGACTATAGTTTGCTGAAAAAGAATAATGATCAAGTTAACTCTTGAGCTGCATTAAAAAAGTCAAACCACTTCTGTTATCTTCTAAAGCTAAGATTTGAAATGAAGTGAAGTGTAACTCTCACCTGCTTTAGGCTTGTGTATCTCTGAGCGTTCAGTGCGTTTGTGAGTAAGTCTGAGAGTGCTTCCATATATACTGAAGTCAGATGACAGTTGTAGTCAAGAGCCCAAAGTCCAGGAGTCACTGCCATGTTGTCATAATGGCTCTTTTCCTGTTTGTGTTATCATCACATGACGGTATAGGCTATGATTCAGACACACAGACATGTTTTTATGGAATTTCCTGAGGCTGGGTGGCTTTTAGGATTTTTCCAAAAAATAAACCAAACTTCCAACACAAGTGTAGCAGTGGATCTCCATTTAAAAGCATTTTTGATATAGCAATTAACTGTCCGCACAGTCCAGTGCTTACAGCCTGAAGATAACACCAGATAACCCCTGTCTGCCAACACCAATGGACTTTGTATTTAGGTCAAGCAATATGAATAAAGTAGCACGAGGCACTCAGATCTTTTATTATGGACAGCTCAGAAATATTGTCACATAATGTAGACTTTTGTCATAACATTCTTTGTACATTCTTAGGAACATTGGGTCTTTGTAATATAGCATTGAGTACAGTCTTTTACCTGCTCTTTAGTAAAGCGTCTCGAGACAACATTTGTTGTGAATTAGCGCTATACAAATAAAGATTGATTGATTAATAAAATAAAATAAGATAAACAAATGTCAAAAGCAATAAACAGTAACAAAGTGAACATAAACTACAACATCAGCTAACATTTTACCCTTGCAAGTATTATTAAGCCTTCTGTAAAGCACTTCGTTTGCACAATAAATGAATTAATTATGATACCAAACATACCAACAAACAAAACAAAACAAAAAAGATTTTGTTGTCTGAGGACGCAGTCATTTATGTGATCAATATTAGTATTAGTATAAAGGCTATGGTCTAGACATGCCATGTTCATCAAGTTTCTTGAGATAACATTGGTTATGAATTGGTGCTATATCAATAAAGATTTAGCGATTGATTGAATGATTATATAAGTACAGGGTTATTCAACTGGTATCGACATAGACCAGTATTTCTTTGATCCAATTATATTATTGGATTATACACTGGAACACGCACTGAACGTCTGGGTTAGTTTCCGAGTAGCAATAGGATGGGAAAGGACTTCTCTATAAGAAGGTTGCATAAGTAACCACATACCAACAAACTGGTTATTTTGAAGTTTTGAAGTTTTGTTGTTAATGGTAGGTTTTTTTAACTTAACTTGAAAAAACAAATGTTTTTCAGCCATTTGGGATGTGGGTTGTTCATTCAAGAAGACAATGATACTGTCTAAAAATGATACTCTTAAAATACCCCATTTAAACATCTAATTTAGCGTTGAGCTTACTGTTATATTATTTACTGCTTGGGAATCGGTTTCTATGTTTACAATATTGTCACTGATTGAGTGTAACAAACTTGTTGAATATACTTTAGTGAATACAGATTTGTTGTTATTTAACTGATTGAACTTGACAATTTATGAATCCTGACTATTAGTTATATAACTCATCGAGTTTCTGATTTGTTACTGATTTTATAACAGTACTCCTGTCATGGTTCCACATTTGCGTCAAGTAAAAAAAAGGTCAGCCGCTTCCTCCAATGTGTTTTATGTCATGTTACATTGAAAACTTCCTCTTCACAGTATTTTCATGACAGGGATTTTTTCTATCAAAATACTTCTAAACAAGAAAATTACACCTAAAATAAGTAGGATGAAAAATACCTCATGTTAATGTTCCAGTTTCACATCTCAGATAGTATCTTTTATTTAAAAGGAAAATTGGACCAAGTAAAATGTTCTCTTTAAAAGTGGTTTCAGGTAAGGGAAAAGGTGTGGACTGCAGCCACTTTGACCTCCAGAAGCTGACAGTGTACAGTAATAATCTAACCTTTGACCAAACTGTCACATAGGGATTTTGGAACAATGAGTAACTGTGACGTTAGCTGGCAAAATTTCAAGCTAATATAGACACTTAACACCCACTGGCTATCTAATCGATGCTGGACATCAAAGACATTATTGGCAAGACTTCTTGTCTGCATAGGCAAAGAGTTAACTGTGACAGCTTTGATAACAGGGCTGTGAGAACAGGGCTCATTTAAGGTCAGTGTTGTGATTCTTTCCAATCTGAAAATGAATAAATCACACAGAGAATATAGAAAGGCAATAAAGATGGCAGTCAAAATCATGCTTTCAAATAGAAATTGGTTGCTGCAATTTAATCAAAAATAAGATGCTGAAATTGGATTATCGATCAGAATGTACTTCCAGTTTGTACAGTCTAAGTCTGTGCTGCAAGGCACTAGATGTCAATGAGGAATGCAGGATGAGGTAAGGTGACAGCAGGGCAATAGCACCTGGACTTTGAAATCTGTAGTGTCCGTATCACTATATAAACTGCAGAATCTCAGATATAGAGCACAAGCACTTGCAGAGTTATACTCGCCAAAGAGCCATGAAGGTCCTTGTTGTGTTTGCCCTTGCCGTTTTCACTGGTGAGTATGATGGCAGAATTACAATATTCTTTTAGCAAAGAGGAAAAACAACAGTTTGTATGCTAAAGGAAGTGGACTACAGGCCTTTCCGGAGGTTAAATATATGCTTGTATGAATGTATGACATGTTCTTGTGTCCATCCAACAGGCTGTAACGCCAACCTTTTCTATGCTGATGAACCCAAGCCACAGCTGGAAGTCCTGACTGATGCATTCTGGGACTATGTTTCCAAAGCTACCCAGACAGCTGATGACACCCTCCAGATGATCAAGAAGTCTCAGTTTGGACAGGATGTGACGTAAGTCTTACAGACCCTTTGGTGACATTATGATGTAGTATGGTTAAATGTAACTGATATGCAATCCACATAAAAATAACTCAAATGAAGACTTGCATTTATCTCACTCCACTTTTGTGTTTAGTGCTCGTCTCACAGATAGTGCTGATGCTGCTACAGTGTATGCTCAAAGAGTCCATGAGCAGCTTCCCCCTGTTGCCCAGGACATGATTGGCACAGTCACCATGGAAACCTATGCCCTCAGAACTCGTTTGGAGCAGGAGATGACCACTGTCAAGGAAAAGCTTGAGCCCTTAACTGAGGAGATGAAGGCCAAGATCCAAGAGCGAGTAGAGCAGCTCAAACAGGAGCTGGCCACCTACACAGACACCATGGACTCAGAGGCCATGAGGACCACCCTGGTAAAGAAGACAGAGGAGCTAAAGGCCAGCCTGGAGCAAAGTGTGCAGGAGCTGCAGACTCAGCTGGGGCCTTACACTGATGACCTGAAGCAGAAGGTGGACCAGCACCTGCTGGTCTTCAAGGAGAGAGTGGCCCCCATGACAGAGCAGGTTCAGAGTGAGCTGGCTCAGAGAGCCCAGCAGGTGAGAGATATGGCCTCCCCCTACGTTGAAGAGCTGAGGGAAAGCTGGACCCTTGACCCAGGACGTCCAGACCCGTCTCAATGCCCTGTACGAGTCCTTTGTCAAAACCAACTAAGTAGTCAGAAGAGAAGGAAACTTCAACAAACAAGACAATATTCTCTGATCCAAAGCTCTATACCATATTTATATGAAAACACTAGCTTATCTATTTTGAAATTTGCACATTTAGATAATACAAATAAAAATAATTCATTATATACATATTAAGTGTTTTTATCTGTAACCACACAATGTGTTCTCTTCCTATATTATGGAAATAAAATCTAAGCAAAACTTAAACTTGAGAGTCTGTCATTTTATTTACAAGATCATGGTAAAGCTCACCTAATAATGTGGTATCATCCATGTTAATAAGCTTAGAAAGTATTCATATAATGTTCATTATCAAATTTTACACACTTTGAAGTATTATGTAGTTTTAAAATACTCAAATGGTTATAAAAACACCTTTTGTCAAACTGGATGCAACACCAACCCTTGAGAAGAGTAAGTGCAATCTGGTGAACAAAACAAGTCATTTCTTCAAAGAAATAGGAGCAGGTGTTGTCTCTGTCTAGCAGAGAGATATGCGAGGCTATGAAAATGCTACCAACACAGATTATAGTTCTTGGACATCTGGTTCATTCATTGCAGATACAACTTCAGAATTTGTTTTGCACAACTTTGTTCAGCCAAAGTTTCGTTTTGTAATGTGTAATGATTGATCAGTGGTTGCACACAGTGTGCAAGAAGTGTTGGACACAGACAGACATTTTTTTAAAAGTAACCAATGGGCCATCACACCCAATAGTTCCAGGAAGTATCTATGCAGGAGTCCCCTAAGGCCATTTAAAGAAGCAGCAATCATAACACTTGATAACATTGTAGCACTGTTGGGAAAATGGATGCCATTAATGGGAGCAGGAGCCACAATTTTTGAGTGTGCGTCTCGCTCATTTTGGAATTAAAAAGGGTTATAGACATAAATGTATTCCTCACCAGATGATTTAATGCACAGGATTGAAAAGACAGTGTTAGAAAGAATTCTGAGGCTTTGGTTATTAATTTGGATTAGAACAGGCTGTTGCATTCCTAAGTAATTGGTTAAATAAGTTTTTTCTTTTTGCAGATACCAATTTTATTAGAAAGGATAATTATTGGTGTATATAGCCCAACATTTTACTACCAAATGTAGGTATGTACAGTACATACAGGGGGAGGCCAGGTAACAGCAAAATACTGTAACTGAACTTTTGTATCTTTAGTTTCTGCCTCAATAAACTGCAGATTTTCACCACCTGAACATATACCCACTACCAAGTTGATATGCAGACTTACACTCACTTAAAAACCAAGTGGGTCCTTGTTGAGTTGGTCCATGCAGTTTTTTTGGTGAGTTTGATGTCCAAATAAGAATATTCTTTTAGCAAGGAAGAAAAAACAAATGCATGCCAAAGGAAGTGGACTACAGGCCTTGGTGAAGGCCAAATTTAGTATTTAAAACTTGGTTTAGGAACATAGACCACGCCTCAAACACAACCCATTTCCGTTTCATACTTATTTCACTCCTATTCCTCTGATGCTGATTTTGCATCCCTCCCCCCAAACCCATATGTGTTTCTTCACTTCTCTCTTTGTCTAAATACATGAACAAAGGGTGTCCATACAACAACAACGAAGAAACAGCTCCCTCACCCAGAGTCTCGACCCCTCTGGTTTCCTCTCCTCGTACCTACATTGGCTGACACAAATCCATAGTCCTTCTACTATTCAGCTCCCGAATCTTACTTTCATCCATTCATCCTTCTACCATTAACTTCATCCCACATCTCTAGACCCTCACCTGCATCCCTTTGTCTCTCAACCCTTACCCCCACCTCTTCATCCCCCAACTCTGACCCTCCCTACCTTCATCCCTCAACCCTATTCATCCATAGTTAACCCTGGAGTGCTACAAGGTTCAGGGCTTGGACCGATTCTCTTTACATTATATATGCTTCCTTTGAGTAATATTATGAAATATTATGATATTATAAATTTTCATTGTTATGCAGATGATACTCAGCTATATGTATCAATGAAGCCTGATGACACCAATCAGTTATGTAGAGCAGAAGGATGCTTAACTCAGTTAAGATAGAAGTTATTGTGCTTGGCCCTAAAAACCTCAGAGAGACTTTTTCTAATGATATAACTGTTCGTAATGGCATCAGCCGGGCATCTAGCACTACTGTTAGAAATCTATTTTATCTCCTATAAAACAAATTTCAAGGACAGCCTATTTTCTCCTTTGTAATATATCTCAAATCAGGCAGATCCTGTCCCAAAATGATGCAGAAATACTAGTTCATGCATTTGTTACCTCCAGGTTGGATTATTGTAATTCTCTTCTATCTGGCTGCCCTTGTAAATCTCTTAAGGCTCTTCAACTAGTCCAAAACACTGCAGCTCATACACTGACTAGAACTAGGAAAAGGGACCACATTACTCCTGTATTGGCTTCTCTGCACTGGCTCCCTATTAAATCTAGAATATAATTAAAAATCCTTCTTCTCACTTACAAAGCCCTTAGTGGTCAGACAGACACCATCTCATCTGAAAGAGCTAGTAGTGCCGTATCATCCTTTGAGAACACTACGCTCCCAGAATGTGGGACTGCTCGTGGTACCTATAGTCTCTAAATGTACTATGGGAGGTAGAGCCTTCTGTTATAAGGCCCCTCTCCTTTGGAATCATCAACCAGTCAGACACACTCTGTACTTCAAGAATAGACTTAAAATGTTATTCTTTGATAAATCTTATAGTCAGGGCTGGTGCAGGTATGGACCAGCTCCTAGTTATGCTGCTATAGGCTTAGACTACTGGGGGAGCTGGCTCCTTGAGCTCTTATCTCTCCCTCTCTGTGCATTCACAAAACATTACTGCATGTTGCTATCTGTAAATCTTAGTAACTGACCACATATTTTACTGGGAGCTCCTGAGCTCTCATGTCTTGAAGGTTCCTCTGCGTCACTGTGGCTCTCCAGTCGACAGGGGTCCCCCAACCTTCAGAGAGGTGATCTGGCACTACTGCCACCAATGTCCCTGACGCCCAGCCACCACAATCGGGCTGTGTCATCCCCACAACCACCACCGTCCTCATTCATGCGCGGGATTGGAACAGTGTAATGGAGCTGTAGACTCAGCCGGGGCAAAGCCCTGTATGAGTCAAAACAAACCAACAGAAAGAAACTGCACCAAACAAAACAATATTATTTGATCCAAATATCTATCCATGTTTGTTTATTACAACCTACAACACTAGCTCATCTTGTTTGAAATTTGCACATTTAGATAAAAATAATAATTAATTATTTACAGATATCTGGTACATTTATTTCAGGTTAAACTTCAGGATTTGTTTTGTACTTTGAACATCAATAAATCACACAAGCAAAGTTTCCAAATAAGTAAGAACACTATATGTGAAATGTAATGTGTAACGATTGATCAGTGATTGCACTCAGTGTACAAGAAGATTGGGACACAGACAGCAAATAAAAAACTTTTTTTTTAAAAAGCTTCAAATATCACAAGTTTTTTTTTTAAACGGACACACACCAGATATTTAAGGCTGCATCATTTACAGAAAAATATGAGTAAAATCCTGGACTGATTAGGTTTCTTTTACCGTGGCCATACCATTTTGGCTGGAAACTTATTTTAAATTCATTATGAGGTCATTGAAAGGTTTTTATCGAATTCTTATATTTTTTGTTAATACCATTTAAAAAAAAAGTTTTATAATGAATGAAGTAGTTTCTTAGTTATTGTGTGTCTTCCTGTTTAACTCATAAAATGCTATGTAATTTATAGCTTGGTTTTTGATTTTAAGTAAAGCACAATGTAGATTTCATAAGTGATTAACAGATACACTTAATATTCTGTTCTGTTATAAGTCTGCAGAAAAGGGTTAATGCATGAATGTACAGTTTTGGTTTGTGCGTGTGTGCTGCATGGCAAAAGAGGCCAGTGATTAGGGCAGGGTGAAGCCAGGTGACAACAAGGCACTGGCATCTGGACTTTGGGATGGACGCACGCTGTGTGAGTGGCTGATTCCCACCACCAGAGCACAAGCACTGCAAAGTGGACTTCCAGAGATACACTTGCCTAAGAGCCATGAAGGTCCTTGTGGTGCTCGTCTTTGCCTTTTTCACTGGTGAGTATGACGAAAACAAGAAAATCTGTCGGTATGCTAATTAACTACAGGCTCTGCTGGGGAGTAGTTATTAACTATTATAAATGTCATTATATAATATGTAATTGTTTTCCTCAAACAGGTTGTAATGCCGAACTCGATGCTCATAAACCAAAATCAAAGCTGGATTTAATGGATAAAGCATTCTGGGAATATGTTTCTAATACCTTCTGGACAGCATCGGCAGCATATGGTCACTTCAGGCAGACTGAGTTTGGTGTGGTTGTGAGGTAGGTTGTACACAAACACTGGTGAAGTGCTTCTGATTTAGAACAGATGGAAATTACTGAAATGCAACCTAACTAACAAAAACAAAAAATGATGACTAACCAAGGAACATCTCATGTTTCAGAGATTATTTTAAAGAGGGTGCCAAAGTTGCCGAAATATATGCTACAAGAGTCTGGGAGCAGGTTCCATCAGATACCATAGACAACATCAATAGTCTTCTTCGCGAGTTGGCAAGCCAATTGGAGGAAAAAGGGATAGCTGTCAAAAAAAAACTACTTGAGCCTTTAGTTGAGGAGGCGGCACCTGTGGCAGAGAAGGTTGCAAGCAGGCTGCTTCAATGCGCTGAAGAGTTGAGCAACATGGCCTCCCCCCACATTGAAAACCTGAGGGAAAACCTGGAGCCCTTGGCCCAAGGCGTCCAAGGAAAACTCACAGACCTGTACAATCGCCTTTCAAAAGCAGCTAAATAAACCACAACCTGATATGGAACAGAGAGATAGTGCCTCAGCAAAACTGGAGGGCTTGTCTGTAACCAAACACTGTGTCTTTTCAATATAACGAAAATAAATGAAAAGCAAAATGAACATGAACATGAGTCTATTACATTATTATTATTTTTTAAAGATTTATTTTTGGGCCTTCAATTGAGAGATAGGACAGTGGATAGAGTTGGAAATCAGGGAGGGAGAGAGTGGGGAACGACATGCGGGAAAGGAGCCACAGGCTGGATTTGAACCCGGGCCGCCCACCTGGAAGACTACAGCCTCCATACATGGGTTGCGCGCACTAACCACTGCGCCACCAGCGCCCCCAAGTCTGTTATATTATTAAAAAAGTCCCGGTAAAATTTGGAACAGCGGTTGGAAAAGTTCTGAGACCTGGACTAAACTTTTTCCTCCCTGTTACCTCTCATGCGTAGAACCTATTTTTGAGCTGCCATAGCCTGGGAGAAGCTTCCCCCTAAAGTCCACTTAAGCTTACTCACAGAGATGAGCAGGTGATAGAATGCCAAAGTAAACAGCTGAAGAGATAAAAAAAACAAAAAAAAAACACACACACACACACACACACACACACACACCATTACCTCAGGCTGTCATGTCCAACAAAAAACAATTTTTCCATCCATGTCTCCAAACTGTGCAAAGGCCCTGGTCTTCACCATGATGGTACCTGGATCAACACTGACCCTTGGCTCATCTGATTTGTTTCTCCCTATACTCTCTCTTCCGAGTGTTTCCTGTCCCTTCAGCTGGACTGAGATTAACAGGATGGTCATAAAATAAACTTGTCTTTATCGTTAATGATGCATTTAGAAACCCGCAACAACAACAACAACAGTGAGAGGAATTAGTGCTTTCTAGTGAACACATAAAGTCCATTTATAAAGAAATTATACAAGAGAGGTTTTGGGTCCAGAGAGGTTTAGGGTCTTCTGGATCTGGACCTCGAATACTTATCTAAACTTGTACTGACTGTCCAAACCTCATACTTAAAACCAAAGAGAGCTGAGAGTTCACTATTAAGCCTCTTTTGCAGTGGTACGTCTTGCCTGAGGAACTCTCCTGCTTTATTTCACTCACACAGTATGAAACATGCTTTTATTGCCTCAGGGTTGGACTACTCTAATAGTTATCTTATCAGGTATCCAGCGATAAGCTCCAAATAGATAAGTTATAGCTATAGAGATAAGTTTGGCAGAAAGACTAATTTAAAAAAAAAACTAAAAAAGAGAGTACATTATTTGTAAGTTCTTGACCAAACACAGACTTAGTTTTTGCTTTACGGTTGACTTCAAAGAGTTACTGAATACTTTCAATCACATCAAGGACTGGCTTAGTTGTTATTATGAACTGTTGAACCTCCTGACTTTTTCCACCTCATACTGTAAACAAAAGGGGACTTATATTATTGTGATTCTTATAGTTTGAGTGGGGGTTTCTTATTTATTTGTTGTTTGTCAATCAACAATTTTTCTCTTAAGTTGTCTCTTTTATCATTCCAAATGGATTTCCATTTTTCACATACACTGATGTATATTTCATTATTCAGTATTTTTTTTGTTACACTTTTGCTTGTTTTCATAGGTTACACACACAAAAAAAGGTATAATTACACATTATTATCATGAAGCTGCAGAAGTGGGTTATGTACTTGGTATGAATGCACATTCACAATATGTACAGTGTGGGCCTGAGTGAGTGCTGCATGGCACAAGATGCCAGTGAGGAGAGCAGAGGTCAAGTGACAGCAAGACACTGGCACCTGGACTTTGGGATCTTGACTGACTGGCATACTATAAAGCCAAATAATCTCTTCATTGAAGCACAAGCGCTGCCAAGTGGACCTGCAGAGGTATACTCGCCGAAGAGCCATGAAGGTCCTAGTTGTGCTCGTCCTTGCTGTTTTCACTGGTGAGTATGATGGGAAAACATCATTTTCCTTTTTCTTAACAGGAGTGTATAAATAGCTTAACATTTAAACTGTTCTTATCTTCCCACAAAAGGCTGTAATGCCAACCTCTTCTCTGCTGATGAACCCAAGTCAAAGCTGGATGAGTTGACTGATGCATTCTGGGGCTCAGTTAACAAAGCCAGGCGGACAGCTGATGACACTTTGGATAAGTTCATGCAGACAGAGATTGGGCAGAACGTGGGGTAAGTGGAACAAAAGCTTTGGTGATATATTCATTGCATAGTATAGGAAGTTGCTGAGGTCCTTTCATTTAATTCTCACAAAACTGGAATTTGAGATTAACCTTTATTTCTTTGTTCATTTTCATGTTTAGTGCCCGTCTAGCAGAAGGTGCTCATGCGGCTTCTACTTATGCTGAAATAGCATGGGATCAACTTCCCACTACAGTCAAGGACTCAATGGGCAGTGTCGGCATGTTGCTCTACGGCATTTCAGTACAAGCAGATGAGGGGTTGACAACTTTCAAGAAAAAGATTGAGCCCTTTGTTGAGAGGGTGGCGCCTGTAGCAGAGAAGGTCCAAAGCTTGCTGACTCAGAGAGCCGAGCAGGTTGCAGAAGTGGCCTCTCCCTACGTTGATAAGCTGATAGAAAAGCTAGACCCCATGACTCAGGACGTCCAGACTCGTCTCACCAACCTGTTTGATTCTTTTGACAAAACCAACTAAGTCAACCTCGACCTGATGCAGAACAGAGAATGTGCAATAACAGTATTCTGTGATCCCAAGGCTCTATACATGTTGTTTACAGAATAATAACACCAGTTCATTTGTTTCAAAGTTGTAGTGCTTGTCTGTAACCACTCACTGTGTTCTTAACTTCTTTCTATATAATAGACATAAGTTAAAAGCAAAACGAACTTCAGTGTCTGTTGTGTGTTTTTTTTTTTTTTTTTTTACAAAGTCCTGGTTAAGTCTTCAAAAGGTCTGGGACCTAAAGGACTAATTTCCTCTACACATCTGCAGTGTTTCTATGTTTATGGCACCCACAGCTCACATGAATGACAGCACAGCACAGCACAAACAAGCAAACAAACAAAACACACAAATCATATGTCAACATCCAAAGTCCAATCAAAGGGCACTGGGTGAGTGACGCTTGTAAGCCATAACACATGATGTATGACAGATCACAAATAAATAATGCACAAAATTCTATTATGTATATATTATCCTCCCTTGGTACCCTGTCAAACAACATGTCTGTAACCTGACTGCTTTGTTTCACTCACAAATTATTATAAATGCTATTATTGCCTCAGGGTTGGACTACTGTAATAGTCTTTTAACAGGTATTAATCACGCAATAAGCTCCAAATAGAGTTAATTTCTGCAGGAAGACGAATAAAGAAAAACAAAAAAAGATGACTTTACATGACATTACAAAGACTGCCTGTTTCCTTTACAGTTGATTTAAAGGAGTTACTGAATAAATTCAATCACTTCAAGGAATGGCTAAGTTGCTATTATGAACTGTTAGACTATAGAAATATAAACATGGGTGCCAAATTGGCTGCAATGTATGCTGATACAGCCTGGGACCAGCATCCCCCTAAAGCCAAAGATACAATCACCCCCAATTCACACATACTCCGTGCGCGCCGCGGTCCGTCAGCGCTGCACACTACGATTTACTTAGCTGCCACTCTAGTCAATCATTGTGTTCACACAGGGCGCGCTGCGGTAGCAGAGCAGGGAAGAGATATGGCCTCACCATACAGTACGCTGATAAGTTATTTACTACGGGTGTAACCGGTTAGTAAATCATAACCGTTTAGGAAAAATCTGTAAACGAAGGGTTAAGGTATTTAAATAACCAAAAATAACGCATACTATTTATTTAGAGATGAATAAAGCTACAAATGTTCCACTTTGACAACGTTACTGCGCTCACAAATGCGTGTGATAAATGTTGGATAACTGACCACCGGGCATTACGTTATGTAACAAGTAAGTTTCACTTTTGACTTGCGATGGCAGCCAAGACTACTCAGCGAAGTGTGGCGTGGAAGTTTTTTTGAAAAAAATGAGAAAGGAGTGTACATTTGACTTGTACATGGTGTACATTTGACTTAGTGATCGGGGGCCTGAGTCCTTCTGATCGAGGCTCAGCCCGGTGTGAGGCCGGTAACGGTAGTCGGGTTGTTTGGGAATGCAGCCCAAAGCGGGTGGTAAACTCCATCTAAGGCTAAATACTGTAATAAGTACCTTAAGGGAAAGTTGAAAAGAACTTTGAAGAGAGAGTTCAAGAGGGCGTGAAACCGTTGAGAGGTAAATGGGTGGGGTCCGCGCAGTCTGCCCGGGGGATTCAACTCGTTTTTACAAATTCTATGGCAAGTTTTCTGTTTTCTGTGTTACTTATATAGCCTACTTTATAAAGCACAATTGTATCTGTCTGATAACTTTGAGTGGCGGCAGTGATGCGGAGGAATCTTTCTGAAAAGCGGCCGCACCCTCCATTGGTTGTATAGCGCGACTGCAGTCCACTTCTTTTTTTCTTTTTTTTTTTTTACTTATGAGGACTACTGCACAAACACTTCCTGGATCTATTGCCAGTGACGGCCCCTTGGTTATTTCAGTAATTAAGCATGTGGACTTTGAAATCACTACTTTTTGTCTCACAATAAAAGCCTCAGTATCTCACCACCTGAACACAAGCATAAATAAGTGGACTTGAAGAAACACTAGCTTGGAGCCATGAGGGTCCTTGTTGTGCTCGTCCTTATTGTTTTCACTGGTGAGTTTGACAGGAAATCTCCATTGTTCTTTGAAGGATCATAAAACATTTATACTGGTATGCTCATGAAAATGGACTGCAAGCCTGCTGAGTGGTAAAAATGTAATATATTTCAAATGTTCATCCTTTGTTCAACAGGCTGTAATGGCAACCTCTTGTATGCTGATAAATCCAAATCAAAGATGGATGGGCTGATTGATGCATACTGGGACTATGTTAGAAACACTGTTCGTTTTGTGAAAGAAAGCTTTGAGGTGATCGAGCAGACTGAGTTTGGAAAGGATTTGAGGTAGGCCTTACAGGACTATGGGTGACATCCTTGTGATTTAGTATTGGTGGAAATAACTGACATGCAAACTCTTATTAAGAACTGATATAAAAACTTAACTTTATCTCTCTGTTCACTCTAATGTTTAGTGGCTGTCTAGGAGAGGGGGCCAAATTGGCTGAGATTTATGCTGACACAGCCTGGGACCAGCTTTCCCCTGAAACAAAGGATAAGTTCACCGCAATCATCATAGTTGCTGGTGAAATTGGCAGCCAGGTTCAATTGGGGATGTACACTGTGAAGAAACAACTTGAGTCTACAGTTGAGAAGATGGCTCCCTTAGCAGAGCAGGTCACGATCACACTGACTGCAAGAGCTGAGCAGCTGACAGATATGGCCTCCCCCTACGCTGAAAGGCTGAAAGAAAAGCTGGAGCCTGTGATCCACAACATGAAAACTCATCTGAACGCCCTATACCAGTCTACTGTCAAAACCAACTAAGTCAACCTCCTTCTGAGGCAGGACTGAAAGAAACGGCATCAAACGGTATTCTCTGATTCCAAAATGTATCCTTGCAGGTTACATCAAAGTACAGCAAATCTATTTTGAAGGCTGCACATATCTTTGGATTTATTTGAAGTAAGAAAAAGCTGATAAATGATACATATTGATACATATTTCACAATCTTGTGAAAAAAGTAAAAGCAAAAAAAACTTCCTGGTTAACTTCAAAACGTGTTGGTAAAGTCTAAGGACGCCCATTTGTGGTTCTTTTTGCAAAGTAAGGAAAACAACAACATGATATATTTGTAATTTATCTGTAAAAGAAATAATAAGTGTAATTTGAATAAAGAAAATAAAAAAAAAATATCTGACCAGTTTCTAACACATTCATAATAAAGTAGTTTGAGTCATGTAAATCAGCTTAATACATGTATATGATTTATTTAGCCATTCAAAACACTTCTAACAATTCTTCTTTTAACCACCTCAAAACACAATTTTAAAACTATTTGTAGGTAATGAATCAACCAGAATGTAAAGGAGTAAACTGTCATCTGGTGAACATATGAAGTCACTTCTTTGTACAAATTCATGCAAAGATTTTGGCATCAAAGTGGCCATCTATTTTCCAAAACATGGTTTTCAATATTTAAAGTTATGAGTAAGCAAGACATTTCCTGTGTTGATTACATTCAAAAGTTGATGGAAAATTAAGCCTTTCTTGTTATTCAATGTCTAGCTGCAAAATCTCGCCCCCCCCCCGCCACGCCCCTGCAGGATCCAGTTGTGGGTCTTGTACAAGACATGTTCAGGTTTGTCTCTGCAAGTCTGGAAGTTCAAAAAAACATCCTGCTTCCACCTTGTTTTTCTTTTCTTTCTTTCCCTTTTGTGCCTCCATCCCCGCTGCCAGATCGCTCCCACGCTACCTTACCCAGTGGCAAACAACATTCCTCTGTTCTGCCCCCAGCTGTCACGGACTGTACTCATTTGTTAACCCTCCCAGTACACCCACAACTCAGATGTCCTAATGTGTCTAAAGGTTATTGGTTATTATTTAGAAAATCTGCAAAGTTAGAGGTTGTAATGCCTCACCATATTGTTCAAACATACTGTACTTACTGGGTGTGACTTTTTTAGTTTGTACATTTGTACCTACAGCTGTTAAGAAATGTATTTGGGGTTATGAATACAACCCCAAATACTTATTCAATATTTTTTTGAGTAAATAAAGTACAAATATTTCTTCCTCTTGGGGTGTCACTACAACTTTAAGAAATGTTTTGAGTCTCAGAATTTTGGATATGTCTACCAAATGTCATCCATCCAGGTGAAACTTTCTATTGGTAACATTGTTAGGGGGCGCTACTAAGCTCATATGACCCACCTTTAAAATGATTCAAGACAGGGGAAGATGTGTGGCACACTAAGTAATTTGTACTGTAGAGGAGATCAGTGCTCATGCTGCTTTGATGTTTGGAGTATGTGTGCAAAAAAGGTTTAATATCATATAGCGTTCTGGTGAAATCGTAGATTTAGAGAAGACGTGTTAAAAATGTTGAATTTGGGGAGGTAGGATTGCCTGACAAGAGGTGTTTTCCCCCACTTTTTATGGAGTTACATAACATTGGGTTAACCACTTGTATTGTGTCCCCGTATGAACCAATCAAGTTAATCTAATCTCATCAGCTGTAAAAAAACAAACAAAAAAAAAACATACTGAAGCAGATAAGTTAAAGGACTAGTTCTACATGAGTTAGATTGGTACAAAAAAACATGAAAAAGTCAAGTAGTTATTCTACAGAGGGTTATGTAGTCGATTTTCCTAAGCGTTATTCAGAGGTGCAGTAGACATATACATATTTTTTTTTTTTAACTTTTTGTATGTTGGCCAGGACAGCTGTTTGCTCCTGCTTCTACTATTTATGCTTGGCCAAGCAAACATACTCCTCACTCTGCCATCATTGAGTAATATGCATGAAAGGTCTACCGATCACATTTTCTAATGCTGCACACGGGAAATAAGCTACAGTCATTTGATTTAACATGACACTGATTTAAAAGAAAACTCAATGAAGTGGAGGACACATGCAGCCACTGAACCCCAATATCTGCATAGGCTGTCCTTCTTGGCTTCAGCCCTTGTCATAGTACAATTCCCCTACAGCGCCATAACAAACCTCCGCAGCAACTGCACCTTAAGACATTCATACTAATTCTGCAACAGCTTCATATTGATGTCCCATCATCACATTGCGCACAGCATAGCGGGAGCTCCTCATACACACACAATCAGACAGGCACACACACAAGCAGTGCTGCACTCCCCTTCCGGCTCCACCGATCCTGTCTTGCCCCTGCAATCCTGTAACGCCTCTGTAACTATCACAAAAAGTGGCATGGGGGGGGGGGGGTCACTTTGTCCCCCTTTACACCTCAGCAACATTCATATTGAAGGTGAAACATCACAGGGTCGTAAACATCACACCTTGAAGCGGCAGTGTGAATAGGACTTTTGTCATCAAAGGAGACCTCCACCATTAAGTGCTTCTTACATAAAAGCCAGCAAAAGTCGATCTCAGCATTTTCCCTTTATCAGCACGCATTCCCATCAGACCATCCCATTCTGACTCAGAATCAGATGATGGGGGGGATATAACACTTCATTCTGAACTTTACCATCCAGTTCAACAACTTCTCACCCACAGCTGTTAACTGCAGTGCCCCTGCTGAGTCGTCTAAACACATGTTTGCATGTTTGAAAGGATGAGATCATCCAGACTTCCCCAAAAACACAATTAGTCATTGTCATTTTCAGACAGAGGTTACTTTTGTTCATACAAATGCCCTCAAAAACACCCTTGCCTGAGAATGAATGTTTGACATTGCGTCTGTTGATGTGGAGCAAAAGGAGAAGCAGCTATGTGTTAGATTGCAGTGTCAGATGTTTTACTGTATTACCTCATGCTCTCTCGTCTATTTCACTTCTCTCTCTCTGAACTTGTAATCCTGGTGGTTCAGCAAAGGACATTGTGCACTGGTTTGCCTGTTCTGGTTTGAGACCTTTGTGGTTGAAGTTTAGTCACTGTGGTCCAGACCTCTGCAAAACACAAGCACAGAACAACTTGTTTATGTCTGCAATCACCAATACCAGAAATACATTTTAGTAGCTTTTGTAGCAAGAAGTTGAAGCTGAAAAGCTGAAATAAAATAGATAAAAGCTCATGAATATGTTCCAAACTAAATAGTACAATTATGTAACAATGTTCTACGTAATGATGGGATGAAATCACTGGTCCAGATATTGTATGTTTGACCTGTACTCGTCTTGTTATCTAGCTGAACACACACCTCCGGAAGTGATACACACAACTTACACCGTAGTGGAAAAGTGGAGCCAAAGGTTTTTTCTTTTCTTTTCAAGAAGAGTAAAATACAAATCCTGAATTTTGTGACAGTGTTACTTGATTACCATTTAAACCTTTGTGTTTATTAATCGACTTTTGCAGTGTTTCAGTAGTGTCACAATCTCTCTGCACACAGATGGCCTCTTATTTTGGTTATCACACGCTCATGTTATCATGTTCTCACCCTTATTACTTGACCAAGCCAGCCCGTTTAAACTTTGTTCCTGTGTAAACTTGGGTTTCTGTAAAAAATAACACAACAGAGCAAATGACACCAAAGGGGCCAAGTCCTAAAGGGCAAAAGTCATTACACATGGGCACTGAGGTGTCAGAGTTGGACTTTACAGAGGACAAGTTATGGCTTGTAGGATATAACCAGTTTCAGTTGCAATTACAGTTATGTACAGTTATGAATTAAAATAGTAATAAATTACAAAAGAGTTATGCAATGTTTTCCCCTTCTTTCAATACCAGCCTCTATCAAGTGGCCAAATGGCTGTTGATGATAGCCTAAATGTCTAAATGTATAAATGATTGACATATGAGAGCATTAGTGAGCAATCGAACACCTTTGCTATTTTTATTTTAAAAATATTTTTGTACTTACGGATGCATTAAAGATGGGCTGGGGAAAAAATATCGTGAAGTTCTAAGTTTTGTATAGAAATGCAGGAGTGAGAGGCTATTTTACATTTATATGTAAGCCTATACCTAGAACTTTTTACCTTAACCAAGGTTTGGAATTGAATTCACAATATTTTCATTGGCATGGTTATTTTACTGCCAATGCAACAACAATCTCTGTTCACTTTAATTATAACTTGACAAAACAGTTCAACGTGATGGGGGGGGGGGTGGCAAGTGTGCACATGTGTCAATTGGGAAATAAATGCTCCAGTACTTTGTTTAACAACTGAAAAACATGGTTGCTCAGTAAATGTTGGTAAACAATTTTGCTTTGTGGAGAATGTCTTCTTAGAAATCGCTGGTTTGTGTCAAAGCAAATACTAAAAAACAAAAAACAAACATTCATCATTGTTTTTCTGCAGTTCCTGTTCTCCCCAAGCACTTCTTCAAATAATAAAAGTCTTTATGTTCTCAGTACCTTTTAATACCTGTTATCCTTCTTTTGTACAGGGCTTGCTGTACTTGGGTGTCCCCAGGCCTGAACTTGCCCATCTCGTAATGCTGACACATTATTTGTACTTCAGGCACTAACAGGTAATTGATAGTACAGCAAGTAAATTACACAGAAAATGCAGTGTGGTGCAAAGGATCTGCTTGCAAGAAACGTCACAAATCCTAACTTCATTCTTTAAACAAAGACATGGGAACTTGAAGGCAAGGGGGTATGGTGTGTTTGGGGGTTGTGTGTCTGAATAGGTGCATAGGTGGGGTGTCAGCAGTCAGCACTTACAGACCTTTAGGATTGAAATGCAGGAGTGAAAGGCTATTTTACATTCATATGCCAGTGGAATTACTCTATTCAGATGAGGGTGCTTGATTATAATGATAAGAGAAAAACCTCATGCATCTGATAGCCTTCAATATTTGACTCTGAAGTATATAGTTTAAGAACATTTACTCTTGTGTTGTATAATAGTAGTTTAATATGGCCCCTAATACCTTTGCTCACTTTTTACTACATTTCATGTGTGTTTTATCTTTACTTCAACTCTTTTTAATGGACAACCACAGCACATTTCCAGATGCTGGTTTACAAAACAAAATATTTCAGAAACAAAAAAATAATAAAAATCTTCATTTCGAGGCCCTTTCCTTTGGTGGAGTGATATATATTGTTTTTCTCATCCTGCTTTCTTTAATCGGTCAAATTTATCATTAATCGAGAATCTTTGCCATTAATAATTATCTAAAATGGCTGTTTCTGCAGCATGCTGTGACTCACTTAACAAACCTACCCCCAGCAGTAATATGAGGTATTAAAAGTTACTCGTAGAACTAGTCAATAGTAATGCTTAGTGTCTTTTTTTTTTTTGCTTTTGCAGACCTTGTGGAGGCATAAATAATAATTTCAGACTGTTTCATATCCATAGAAACTCCACATAGGAGCTTCTCTGTTGCCATTCCCTTTTTTTTCCTCCTCTGAGAAGAAAATGTTAGAAAATAGGCTAGTGCAGTGGTTCTCAAACTTTTTAGACTGCGTACCACCTCCGAAAATATTTGGCTCTCCAAGTACCACCATTATGGCAGACATTAAAAGACACTGTAGGCCTATTTCAACACACATTTAACGCAAGAGGCAAATTAATTCATAAAAAGAATATTATTTAATATTAACTGTTGGCAGCCACACTGTAGGCCTACTAAGGGCTAGCGCAATAACTGGCACTTAAACTAACACAACTCTGACATTTGACCAAATCAAAAAAAAGGGCAGAACAATAAAAATGACAACTTTATACCAACAACCTGTTTTAGAATATTTAATCTCCAGTGTTTCACACACAAACACGACACCTGGGCCCATGTATATTTCCGATTACCTGTTCTTATTTAATTTTTTATTTATTCATAAAATTGCTGCGTGCCTGAGAGAGCGAGAGGTAGGGGGGGGGGGGGGCGCGTGAGAGAGAGTGCAGGCGCGCGCTCCGCAGGCTCTGTGCAGCCAGAGCTTCTGTATTATAAGTCTCTGCGTTCAACATAGCAAAACTGCCTGTTTAAAAATAAAATCCCTCTCGACTCCTGCGGAGTGTTAAGACAGCAAAAGAGAGCAGAATCACATCAGCTTTAGAGCTACAGAGAGAGAGATAGAGGGAGGGGGAGCGATAAGTTCCACTGTCCGTACATGCATCACAACGGGAAGCATCTCCATAAAATGTACAGCTGCTTGCTGCCGATTGTGTACTGAACTCCAATAAATAACAGAATATCTGTTAATGTAGGCCTACAGCTGCTTGCTGTTGTTTCAGGACTGAAATATAACAGAATATCAAGGGGAACTTTTCAAAACGTGAGGTGTACTCCTGTTGTTGTTTATGTCTGTGCGCGCGAGCATACATTGAGCAGATTAAAGTGGTTTGTTGCAAAAACCAGATTAATTTAGAGGAGAAAACACATTTGATATTAATACAACCCAATAGATACAAGACAGATAAGAGTATGACAAAAAAAAATTGGCGTTTTATGCTGAACGTTTTCTTTTTAATATATATATTGTGGAGATTCCTTTGCGTCCCACCACAGGGAGTCCGCGTACCACCGGTGGTACGCGTACCATAGTTTGAGAACCACTGGGCTAGTGGCCTTGCAGTAGCTTCAAGTCTTGGTTGAATGTTTAATATATATGTTAGGTCATTTAAGCTAACTGTTGCTAATTGTGTTGGCTTTATTTTCATCTTCCAGAAACATAAAAGAAGAGAAATGGTGGCCTAGCAGAGGCTTTCATTTTCTGGTTGAGTGTTACATTTAAGTAACTGAAGCTAAAATATTTTATAGGCTCAATTTCCATCTCTCAGCAACATAAAAAAAAAGCGAATTAGGAGCCTTGTAGGTAATATTTTTTTGCTGAGTGAGTTAAAGGCCTACATTTTAAGTAGCCTAACTTAAGCTAAAAAATATTGTATTGGCACTATTTTTTATCTCTCAGAAACCCAAGGAAAGCACAAAGGTAGGCTTTTAGTAAAGCTTCTGACACGCTGAAGGTTCGCTTTGTCAGCTGTGTTAAAAATATAACAGCAGAGACGTTTTCATCATGACTTTGTACATCCAACTTTTACCCCGTTATTCTTGTGACAGACTGGTTGCCCAATCACCCTTTTGAGACGATACAAACCTGTGAGAACTTCGGACGCGGTGTTGGTGGCATGTTGCGTGGAAGAAAACAGGAATCAAATTATCTCATGCGCGTGAACGATCCCTCCCCCTCCTCCCGGAGCGACACGCGCATCAGCAGCGGTCTCCTGGGAGTGTATAAATACCCTCAGATACTGTGTAGAGAGCACGGAGGAAACTCAACCTCACAGGTGAGTGGAAGCAAGGAGGACACAAGTCAACGTTGCTATTACAATACTTCTCAGTTACAATGAAAGTTTTGTTTAGTCAATGTAACTGCTTAATGCGGAGTTCAAGTGCTCTCTATTTTGTATTTTTTTTGCAAGCTTGAATGTTAGACTTTTAAAGGAGAACTTTTCTTAAGGAATTGCATTTGATCTTTTTCTATAATGTGGTTCATTTCAAACCATTCCTCCCATTTTCTCCTCAGGTTTATCTGTCTGTCCAACAATCATGAAGTCTGTAGCTCTGATCCTTGCTCTCGCGGTCATCACTGGTAAGTTCACTGTTATCCATCGTTTACAAACAAGACTAAATAAAATGCGTTTAATGTATGTATATTTAGCAAAACTTACAAATGTGTGCCTATCACAGGCTGCAACGCCCGTGCCGTGCCCCAGGCTGATGCCATTGAAACCAGATGGGAAGAGAGTGTGGACCGTTTCTGGCAGTATGTTTCTGAGCTGAACCAGAAAGCTGATGGAGTCGTGCAGGATCTCAAGGCCTCTCACCTCACCAGGGAGCTAGAGTAAGTGAATGATTCCAAATCCAGTACTTACGCTCAAATCCTTTGACCAGTACATCGCTCAAACTTTGCACTGTGCTTCGAATCCTAATTTGTATCTTTTACTTTTAGCACTCTAATCACTGACACCATGGCAGAGCTGACAACCTACTCTGATGACATCAAGGCCAAGCTGAGCCCCTACACTGATGCCTCCACCGGCCAGATCACCCAGGACCTGCAGCTCCTGACCAACAAACTCCAGAAGGACATGCTGGATGCCAAAGAGCGCAGCACTGAGTACCTGAGTGAGCTCAAGTCCATGGTGGAAACAAACACAGAAGATGTCCGAGGCCGCATCGGCACCTACACCCACAAGCTGAAGAAACGTCTGAACAAGGACACTGAAGAGATTCGCAAGTAAGTTTGGCGGACGCTCTAACATTAAATTAAGTCTTTTTCTCTTATGTCTATGTGAAATCTAAATGTTATTCTTCTTCTCCCCAAAGCACTGTGGCCACCTACATGGGCGAGGTCCAGTCCCGCACCTCCCAGAACCTTGAAGTTGTGAGAGGACATGTTGAGCCCTTCGTCCAGCAGGCCGGTGACTCCGCCACCAAGAAACTGAGTGACATCTCTACCGTGCTGAAGACCCAGGCTGAGGGTTTGAGCCAGCAGCTCGAGACCCAGGCTGAAGGCCTCAGGACCCAGCTGGAAGCCACTGCCGAGGAACTGCGCACCTCCCTGGGAGGCAAGATCGATGAGCTTACCGAGCTGCTCTCCCCCTACGCCACCAAGATCCGCGAGCAGATCGATGGCATCGTGGACAAGGTCAAGGAGACTGCTGCTTACTAAACAAAGACTGGTGTTTTTAAGGTTTTTGATCGTTGGTGGTCAGCTGTTATTTAGCAGTGTGACCACTGATTTCTTAATACCTTGAAAAGAAGGAAGGGTGGGAGTTGAGAGATAAGTTCTTCATTTAAGTGCTTTATTGTTCAGTGTAAGAGTGTTGATAAGAGAGATTTAAAAAATGTTTTTCTACTCTTTATGACTCCCTTAATCACTGAACAGGAGCACCCCAGTCGGTGACAGCCTTTTAAAACACAAACAGGAGACAATTATTTTTAATATGCTTGCTTTTCTACTTAAATTAGCCGTTCTAACTGCATACGTTTTGTCTTGAGTTCCCTTCAATTTGTGTGGTTGTTAACATAACTGCTGAGTTTAAGCCCTAAAGACAGGAAGTCCAGCCCTGTATCATCTCTAAATGCACCAAACACACATGTCTTTCATTTCAATGTATGCACTGATTTTAACTTGAGGTGATACTGAACCACTAAAGAGTCCTTCTGACATTCATTTGTTGTACTTCATTTGGAAGTGGAATGTAAAGCGACTTGCAATGCAAAAGTGACAATCACAAAATTATGCTTGTGTGTTCTGCAGTCTAAGAGTGTCCCATATGTTTCAAATGTCATGTGCCCACCATGCTGCTCACTGTAAGTGCATCACCATGTGCTGAACAGTGCTGAAAGAATAAAGAACCCAGAAAATAAGACCTGTTTTTGCTGTTTGTTCCTCTGCTCAAACATTAAACAGCCATCTATAATTTAAGATGTAGTTTGGATACAGTAACAAGAGGAGCTGTGACAAAGCAGGCGGTTATCTAATGTAGTCCTTTCAGTCTCTACAGCTCTTTAAATATAATGTAGAATGTTAAAATACAAATATTTTTTCTCATAGGTTTACCAGATAATGACAAGTTACAGATTCAACCTCCCTCATACCAGCAGTCAAGGAAGAAAAAGAAGAATTCATGAAACTGTGGAAAAGATACTCTTGTTAAAAAAAAACACAACATTTCTCACATGTAAAATTAATTCAACATTTTCATAGAAAGCCTTTTTTTTGTTTAATCCTTTGGGTGTTTATGAAATGAGGATTTCTGTGAAGGTACAGACCTCTAGTGGTACCTTTTAACAACAGTTGCCAGCCACACATGAACACAGAGACCCAACTCTCCTTTGCTTTATTGTAAATCTTATGTTAGTTTCCTAAACAGATAATGAACTTTATATTTTTATTTAAATATACGTATACTCTTTGTATAAACCAACACCATCACTCCAAGTCCTCTTTCTTTTCTGGCTCTCCCCTCCACAGTCACAACCCTTGGCCGACCATTAATTCTGGTTCAGACTTGTCAAAATCTGTTCCAAGATTCCTTTCTCTCAATCCAAGCAGGCGTTTGGGAACATGCTGTGCCCCTGATCTAATTTTCTAAATGGTGACATTCTACCACTTTTCTGTCTATTTTGGCTCTGATCACATTATAAGGAGTGCATGTGTGCATTTGTACACATATCTTTGCTCAGGCATGCCAACCAGAGTCATTCACATGTGCAGATACTGTCTGTAAACACGTGCCCACATGCATGGATATGTTTGCAAGCGTGCACATCATGTTGGCCCTGATTAGATGCTTATCATTTAATTGCAAATCCAGACAGGCCCAGGTTTCTTCTCTCTCTCTAAATAAATAAACCTTTAACACAGTGAATGAAGTCACTGTAAAATAAAGGCTCTTGCTACAAAATGTCCAACATGATTCCCTCTACATTTTGTCTGATACAACAAATCTATCCTCAACAATAACTCAGAATCCAGCAGATGTTTCACTTGCACTGCAGATGCAAAGATAACTTATTGCTACACATCTGGTTCGGCCTGAGGGGGAAGATGGTCTGATCAAGCATACAACTTTTGAAATAGTTCCTTTTATTAAAACTCAGCAGGATTTTCCCTTTGAGGTGTAGAGCAGTTCTCTCCCCTGACCTCTCCACCAGAATCCATGCTGCACCAAGATGCAGCTGTGTTTTCCTTTTTGGAACATAAAGTAAACTACATTAGCCTCATTTATGAACAGAGACTCGGTGGCATTGGAGGACAGAAAATGTATTTTCTAAGACAAATGAGCTGGTAACTTCTTTAGAATCCCTAGAGGGGAATTGTAATTCTTAAGTTAAAGATATGAAATGTTGATTCATAATGGTCACTTTGACGACAGGTCCAAAGCTAATGTAGAAGAAAAAAGTGGGTAATGTGCCTCAGTATGTTTTAATTGTGTAAGAGTCTAAGATTTGAAGATGAAAAATCTTTGACTCAGATTGAGGACTGATACCCCTCTCTTTTATTAGTCTCCACATGTTCTTTTTAACTTCCACTGTGCACAATAAGAAATTGATGAAAAATTACTTCAAACAATACTGATGTTGAGTTCCGCATATTTAAAGCAAAGTAAAAGAAATGGTCCCTAGTCAGTCTCTGAAAGTTGTATATCGATTAATTGATCCTATTTCTTTTCTCCAGACAACACCAACATTGGGTTACACCAAAAACATGTTTACTCTTTCTATCTGTGGCAAAGGGCATTGCATGTAAACTGAAAGAATGACTAACACAATAAGTAGCTGTTTGTCCCAGATGATATCACTCCGTTAAGGAACCAGTGTTTATTTAGAAACTGCCCCTGAAACAGACAAGTGAAACTCCTACATGAAACTGTACATTGTTGCAAGAATCAGTCACAAGCGATAAAAACAGGAAGTCTGCTTACATCCTGCCTTTTCAGCATTTCTGCTCCGTCTGCTGTTATAAATCGTCTGCACTCACACACAAAAAAAGGAGTACATTTGCAGGTGCTAGCTAGTCTATGACTCCAAGTAACCCCTCTATAAAAAAATAACCCTGCTGAGATTTTACCTCATATGACAACACTCCCCCTCTTCTTCCTCCCCATTGGAGCGGACTCACAACAGCAGCCACCACATGGGGCCTCATCCTAACAAAAAACAGCCTTTTTGTAAGCTTGTTATTGCAAATTGGGAGCATGCAAGGCGCGCTCTTTCACGCCCTATGCCTCCTACAATTATTCAAGAGGAGCTTATGTGCACGCAAGCACAAGCTCATACATAAAGCCACTGGCCACTTGATGACTAAAGAGATGGAGATTTTGCTTTTCAGAGGTAATGTGTGTGAATGTTGAGGCATGTGAATGCACAATTGTGGGCTATTCATCACAGCAAAATACCATATAGGCCAAGTCGTTAGCAACAAATGGGCATTCAGTCGTTAGCTGCAGACTGCTTGGTGTGAAAACAGATATGTTAAGTAATCATGAAGCCTTCAAACAGTCAGACTCAGACTTCCTGGCTCTATGCTCAGGTCCCCGCTGTAATGAGAGGTTACTGTAGTTCAACTGACTACTGTTACTTTTACTGTGGCTCGCTTCCTTGTTAAGAAGTTATTAGAAGTGGGAACTTTATCCAAAATAGAATAAGAGGTTATATGGATTCACCGCAAATAAGTCTGCTTCAGACGGCAAGCCGTATGTGACTAGTGGCTCAAAAAAACAAACAGACACGGCAACAATTAGGAATGCAGGTAATTGGTTATAAAATATAAAGGATTAGTTGTATTTGATGTACATTAGAGGGAATGATATGCTCAAGTCATTGTGAAGGTACTTGTAGTTTGACTCTATCCACTGTCCTATCTTTAAATGAAGGCACCAAAAGCCCCACAAAACAATCCTTTCATTTTATTTAGCTTATAAATTAATGTCATTAAAGTCATTTAATCAGGACAGTCACATATCCCTGTTAATAAATGATTTTTTAATACTGCATCGGAGTACATCAGACTTTCATATTAGACTGCCTTTCTTCACAATAAGCTTTGCTTGTAATCAAGACAGTTATTTATTTATACACTATTTGCCTTCTGTCCCCTGTCCTGCACCTGATTCCTCTACATTTTGGACTCGCTTCAACCTTTTTTCTTAAATTGTATTTATAATATTTTAAACACAAATATATGATGTGCACGGTTTGACATTGAGCTACGCTACTTAAAAGTAGTTAAATGACCTCCAAATTGCCAAATAGAACATCAAGTTGTTTAATGAGCAAATATTTTGCACATATTTTGTCAATAAAAATAATGATTAAATGCTTTCCTTACTACTAATTTTGACTGCAGGAGGGCTTTTCTTTCTATTGAAATATTTTTAAGAGTTAAGTTAAAGGATCTGAGAATTTACAAAAACAAATCAAAGGCACAAAAGTTTGCATTAGGGCCCCAGCAGATAACAAAAGATCAGTTTCCACAGAAATAAATAGACATGGAAATTTTTTTTTTTTTAAAGTAGTAATTTTGATTAAAATATAACACGATGTGAACAATTTTGTGTGCTTTTCATAAATCTGCCTTTAATTCTGACAGCCAATACTGGAAGACAGTCACATTTTGTAATGTCAAAACCAAAATATCCATCACCAATACATGTAGGGCTGTCAGTCACAGAGTCCATAGGCCAACACTGCAGGTCCAAAGGAGCTCCCAATAAGCTGACATCTTAGTCAGGTCCATCTGTTACAGTATAATGTTATCACTGCTAAAGACTACCTCTCAGGTCTCTTAATATATCAACACAACTGTTACAGAGTCCCAAAATCTTTAACTGATTTATTTTCTCTTAATGTTCAATAGGGAAACACTCCCTCTTATTTCCCCCCTATCCTCTGTAAATAACAAATACAACTAGCCTATTTCTGCAGTGCTGGATGAAAAACTTTTGTCTCCACTCATCTCATCAGTCTGCAGAGAAAAAACACAATCTTGCAACATTTTATCAAGGTCGTTACCTGTTGAGCGATCGAATTTATGTAGCACAGTCAGTATATTTTAAAGCAATCACAAAGGTGCTGGTCAATAAAGGGGGCAGCGACGCGCCAAGGTCACCACGTGTACAAGTTAACCAAAGTCTGCAGAAGTGCGTCACAGCAGCCTTATAAAGAGGAACTTTTTTCAGTGCCCAAACACACTTGATTTTTTCTTCTTCTCTCAGACGGATAACAGGTATGTCTTTATCCCTTAGCATCACTGATGTGGGGCTGGGAAACATATATTCTTGAATTAACAATTGTTTTATTTGGCTTATAGCTAGCAAACAAACTGTCATCTGTTCTTTATTTTTGTTGCTTTCGTCTGATGTGACTTGTTTTTAAATGTAGACAGCGACGACAACAGTTAAAAAAGGCTTATTGGTATTTATCTTTACATTGTAAAGGCGTTTAAGTAAAAGGAGCTGTCCAGTCTCAGTGGTGCTGAAAACGGGGGCGCATATTTCTAGCTCTAACCCTTTGTAGCTATCTCTCCGTGCTAATTTTTACTTTCTTAAGACAAGTAACCAAACAAATTGTCTTTCTCATTGCTGCGCAGGAAGCCACTGCCAAGATGAGACTGTTCCTTGCAGTTGCCGTGCTGATGCTGGCTTTCGTCGCATACACAGGTGCGTCTTTTCTTAATGAAAAACAGCCCTGCTATACGTTTTGTTTTTCGTTCTTCAGAGTTGTGTAACTTCTTGTCTAACTTTGCAGAGGCCCAGGAAGAGGAAACTGTCCAGCAGAAGTTATCCAATTTAGGCGATCAGATGACTGAGATGGGCAAGAACCTGGCTGAGAAGGCAAAAACTACCTTTGATGAGCTCAGCAACAGCCAGTTTGCAAGTGACACAAGGTGAGCGCGAGCGCAAACACAGATGCACACAAAAATCAGACCAATTACAATCAACTGTGAGTTTTTTTAACACACTTTTTTGTACTCTCTTTCTCAGAGACTGGTTCACCAAGCACATTGAACAGTTAAAGAGCAAGTTTGGGGACGTCGCCCAGTAGACAAATGAACAGGTCACTTTCCTCAACACCCACCTCCACCCTGACGTCACGTCCATCAGCTGACATGACAACATGGTTACATTACCCCTCTATGATTTCTTTTTGGTCATAATTGGACTGTAATAAAATTAAAGAAACAATGTGAAAGAGTGTACTAAGACGTCAACAAATAAATACGTTTTTTTTATATAAAACGCTGACTTTGCATCTTTTGTTTTTAAATCTTTGTAAGTGTACTTCATGAAAGTGATAGAATATAAAACTACAACAGTACTAAAAGAATATGGCAGTTTTACATTATTCTCTGCTCTTGATTATAAACAAGTGTTGGCAACTGAAAGAAAAAAGAAATAGGACAAAAATGGATAGTAGGTATTACCAGAAAGACTGGTTGAGATTCTTGTTAAATAAATAAATACTAAATTCAATTCAGACCATTTCATTATTGATTATGTGGCACATTTAATGCAAATGCAGTTCAAAGTTCGTTACATGATTTTCTTTACAGATCAGATCTTTTTAAATCATTCTAAGTAAACTAATCAAGGATTTTACTAATCGAAGAAGCGATATTTATTTTGAATTACATAATGGGGAAAATAAACATGGTGGAAGAGATAAACAATTCTGCAAGTCAGAAAAACATAACTTCTTAGTTTTAAATGATGTAAAATGTGTCTGTTTGAAAATTTAAAGGGTTGTGCTGTGTTTTAAATCAAGATGACAAATGCTTGAGTGTGAAGAAAAATACAAATGAGGGGGGAAATGTGTTTTTAACATGAGCTGGAATACATTTTTTAAGTAAAGTCAGGGCAATCTGTATATTATCAATTAAACTCATGTTCATTGACAGTTCATGGCAACAAAAGTATATCATATTTGTTTTTAATTAGGCACAATCTCCCTTTAAAGAGAATCAAAATGAGAAAAGCAACAAATGCTGTGAGTCAGCGTGGAAATGAAGATTTTTATACATTGATGCTGATTTTTTATTGCAACCAAAAAAAAAACGTACTCCATCATTTCCTAAAAAATAAAGAAAGAAATCAGAGTTCTTAAAAACACAAGATGATGAATGTACTAGTGATTTTTTTAGTTTATAGTGAAGTAAAAATACAGTGAAAATATAAATGTCTGCTGAAGCTGATTAGTATTTAGACAAATCACAGCAGAATCTGACAGATAATAATCCACATGTGTTCAGAGTCTATACCAAAGGGCAAGTGCCAACACGACTGCTCTTCTGGCATTTTACAAAATATAGGTTGAAGTTACTGTTTATGCTGGGTAAATAATCCACAGCCCAGTTCACTTAAATGTGTTCCTGTGAAGAGAACAGGGGGACAGAGGTCAGCAGCTGGAGTGCAGAGGTCACACACTGCATACATTGAGATCATTCAAATTTAACTAGAAGTCACTTTCACTTTCTTCATTTAAGAGAACAATAGGCTGTCATTAAGCACATCCTTCCGAGCTTTCATTCATATGTTGAAACAAACTTTTTGTGCTTGACTTTCTGTATTTGGGGGAAAATCTTCTTTCTGATTCGGCTTCACTCAAAGTATTGTCATGACTCCAAAGTGAGGCTTTTCAGATCGGTCTTCTTTGAAACATCTCTAAGCTATTAATGCAAAACAAGAAGAGGCACTATCATTTGTATAGATTGAGACAATGTATATGCACAGATTCATTCAATTCAAATAACTTTATTTATCTGTTAGGAACTTCAGTTGTGTAGCACAAAAAACAAAAATACACACATACAAGTGGCTGTATTAAAATCATGATAAAAAGGTCATAAATAATTGTTATCACAGTATAATGTAAACACTTATAACAAACCACAATCACTTCTCTAATTTAAAAAGGTTTAAAATGAGTGTTGTTTCAGACTTGCATTGTTAATGCAGGCCTATAGATTTTAAAAGAACTATTTATTTTGATGCCCAATGGGAGTCCAAGGACAATTCAGAACCCCGGCAGCCCCCCCATCAACCCACACATCTCAGACTCTACAGCAATTTACAGATGTTTAAAACGAAACACACGATCTAAAAAACACAAATAAAACCCTTGATCCTCTCTATTTGGACAGCTGTGGGATCATGTACGTGGAACATAGTTATGAACTGAAACCCCTGAATTAGTTCAGAACATGGAGCAAGCACAGAGCCAGGCTACAGAGAGGATTACATTGATTTTGTGCTGGACTCTGAACGCAGAAATGCTTTGCTGGGCTGAAAGTGTTTATCTATTTTTCAGCCGCCTCCAGTCTTCACTAACAGCCATATCTCTGCTGCCTGGACACAGACTTTGACTGGCCTGAACACACATCAGCAGCCGCCAAGTGGGCTGAAGTTTCTGATCCAAAGGGCGCTTGGACAGTGAATGAACTCAGCTAATGTTGATTTTGAAAAGATATCAAAGTGATTCAGGATCTAAAATCAAGGTCTTAAGCTTGGATGCTGAAATTGAAATACAGCTAACCAAAAAAAAGCTGGGATGGATGACTCCTATGCCCCAATTAAGATTAAATTTAACATCAAAGCATGAATACTTTACCCATGGCTGACAGATTTTGCCTTTAAGTTCTCTGTCTTTTAAAAATGTTGAAAGAAAACATAAATCACCTGCACTAGCTTCTTGATAGTCCATTTGCCTGATCCCCCCCCCCCCCCCATTCATTTTTAGAAATTCAAAACTATACCAGAGACAAGAAGACTTAAAGTAAATCTACACCTTGTGTTTTTATGTTCCTAGTCAAACACCTGCTGCTTAATTGCTGTCCAGAATTTTGTCAATAAATGAGGTAATGAAGGCGAAAGAAAAACAACTCAATGAAAAGTCATACGATCTGGAGCAATGTACAACCTGTTGGCTTATACAAATAAAGTAGCCCGATAAGACGTGATTCATTCAGGTTCTGTTGACCAGAGGAAAAGGTAAAACAATAAACTGTTGCTATTGCTTTGCTTGTTCTCATTTAATTCATGAAGTGTTTTTTTGGTTACTTGTGATGACTATATTCTTGAATAGGGACATGGTTGAGAAAATCCTGTAATATATTGAACGCTTACTGGTTATGGTTAGACATCTATCATGAACTGCTTAGATTGACGGACAATTCTGTTTTGAAATAATAATCTAAGACAAATGACCCCTTTAAGATTGTGTTTCTCTCGTTGTGTGGCAGATGCATATGAAAGAGCTTTTTTTCACTATCGTCATGCTAATGAAAGGTACGACTTGCAAGAGGATTATTCTAGATCTTTCTTGATTTCAAAGCAGTTTGATCTCTGCTCTGTTTCTGCTCTACTGACAAGCATGCTCTTCTGCAGCATGTGGCCCCCTTTCTGCCCAGACTACAGCTGTCCCTGCACAACCTGACCCCCCAGGAATCCTGCAGAGGCTGGCAGAGAAAGCAAGGTATTTAAACAAGTACTCTGACTGTCATCTTTTTGTGGCAATTCATGCAAGCAAGTTAACAAGTTTTTAAAGTATTTTCAGTTATCAGAAGCTGATGAGGGATGACCTATGATGATGGCCACATAATCCAAAATGCATCAGTCTGATTTGTTAATAAAGTTGATTGGTACTTGGTACCTTGGTAGTTGGTGAAGTTGTGCCGGAAAAAACCCACTCTGCTTCTTCAGTTATCAGAATTGCAATATTATTCAATGTGTTTGTATGTTGTTTGCACTTTGTTCTTCTTTTGTGTACTTTTATCTGTCATAGGGCAGCCAAAGCTAAAGTCCAGGGTTTTGGGGAACAAGCACTGGGCTTTGCTGGTGCTTACTATGAAGACCACATCCAACCAGTCACTGACAGATACGTTGGATGGGCCTTCAGCGTGAAGAGCTCTGTGTTGGAAAAAATCCAGACGACCATGGATAACTACAATCCACTGAAGGCAACAACACCAGCCGATCAATCGCCTGTAAACTGAGGAAAAGATGATAATCAAAATAAAAGTTCCTAACTCATGGCGTGTCCATGGTTCTTGCCACTCTTATCGGACTGATTATGTCTTTACCTGGCTTTCACCTGGCCTAACTGGTTGTTTGAGATAAAGAAAGAGTCTACTGTAAGAAATAAAACTCCAGGTTCACATCAAGCAGCTAGGTTTTACTGCAGGGGTCTGATTTGCACTCCGAAAAAAGGCAGAGAAAGAGGTTTAATCCATCAAAGTGTATTTCTAGAAAAGCAGTTACTACAATTCAGAGATCGAAAGGCAAATTCAGCAACATTAAACACGTCATCTATATCTTATCATTTCTACAATACGATACGATAGATATGATTGGAAATGATACAATACTACACGGAACAACACAAAACCATTTAATTAGATCTATTGTGTCCTCAGGGACATTTGTCTCTGGGACCATCGGTGCACACGGTCTGATTTATATTGATGATTTAGCAGCAAATCTGCTTTTAATTCTGATCAATGTGGTGTTTGTGAAATTTCCCATGTAAAACATTTCAAACGAAACTTCCAGTTCTCGTATTGAATACATACATACAATCACATCCCGCCTTTTCTTGTATATGACTTCATCGTTTTTTTGTCTGCTGCTGTTACGGTTTTTGATTTAATTTTTAAATATTTTAAATAAAAATTAAATCAAGACATTAGAGCAGTAGGGAATGATTAAGAGAAGTTAATCATTTAATAAGTAGATCCTTTTTTTTCACTCACTTAAGAATTAAATAAGATGTTTCTTAATTGTCCTGGCAGCAGCAATGATGTTTCACCATGCATGCAATTTTTAGCAGGGGTTCAGGGTGAAAGGTGAATGCAGAAATCCCAGCATGCATTGCTGTGCCATCAGAACAATGTGTCCAGACTGGTTGATAGACATGCTGACCATTGAACTGTCATTATAAATTGATCTTGACTGGCTGCCATAGAAAGGCTGATAAGCTTTAGTTGATCTATTTAACATCATCCAAAAAAGTGAGACACATGAGCGGCTTTTTTAAGTTACCTGTCAGATGAAATGTGCTGGTTATGACATGCATGCACTCTGACACACATTTTGTACAGTATCAGGAGGGCTCCGAGTGCATCACCGTATGGAACAGATAAAGTTACATTAGAGCAGCATTGTATTGCCTAACGCCCTACTCATAATTCCACATACAGTATTCCAAGTATATGTCATGTACACTGGACTTTGTTTAGGGTGAA